TCGTGCTTGAAATTTTGAAGGCTGGCTGACACAGAGACGCTCGAAAATAAAATCAATTATCTATACGAGATGCAGATTGTCTCAAAAATTGTGTCATTAATTAAGAATGCCTCTGGTAATGTTTGTTTATACAATTATACTTGGCTTTAGTCTTTTATTAACAAGAAATTCAAGAGAAAAATACCGGTTTATCGAGAGCAACAGAGAAACGTTGATAGTTTTATGCTATGACCTTATAGAACTTTTATAATCGCTACGACATTACAAAGTTTAAATAACAAATATAAATATTTTATTTTTTGGACAATTTCATATTTATTCAGAAAGAAAGTTTACATTGTTATTAAATTTCAAATATTTTAATTCCATTTATAAATACTTTTTAAACCCATCTGCCTTGTACTAAAAATTTATTACATATATATAGACTTGTTAGTATATATTATTAATTAAAACCAAATTATTTTGTTTTCTTTAATACATTGATCACAGAGCTACTTTTACCATTCATATTTTACCATTTTTATTAATTCTTATTATTTTTTTCATTTTATCATAAGTATCTCTCTCAATTTAATAAGAACTCGTTATAAAGTTTACCTTCTCTGTTTTGTTTACAATATATGTGCTATTGGGCAAGCATAACAAAATTCTGATACATTCAATAAATGTTTTTCTTTTCAGACAATCAATACAGCGTGCTATTGATAATAGAAGCCGTATAGGGGAAAAAGATTGGATAAAGAAAATTTCAATCTGTTGAATCTTATTAAAATTCGCCAAAAAAGTATCCATGATGTATTTTGCTTGGATGAAGCAAATTATAAAGCGAATATTCCGTTCGTTATATTTATACATAGCTATTTTTTTTTTCATCTCATGCATGTCAGGTAAGATGTAATGATTGTGTGCATATGTTTGACTTTTCATTTTCTTTATATTTATCAAAAGTAAATGTAAAAAAAGAAAAAATAATAAATATATACATAAATGCATATACAGGGTGTAAATGAATATCTATTACAAACTTCTAGGATATGTAGAGGGTTCAAAGTAGACCAACTTTTAATAAGGAACTCATGTCCGGAAATGCACCGTTTGCGAGCTGCAGACTGGAACTGTTGGTATGTTCAGTATTAGAAATAATTCTCTTAACTTTATTTGCTTACATTATACTACAAAAATGTTTAGCAATGTCAAAACAGACAATGTCAAAAGACACTTTAAAAGAGTGTACCAGAACATGCTTCGCAGGTGCAATGCTTGCATCAAAGTTGGTGGTCGTCATTATGAACAATTATTGTAGCCATCTGTTTTGACATTGCTAAACATTTTTGTAGTGTAATGTAAGCAAATAAAGTTATTATGAGAATTATTCCTAATACTGAATTTACCAACAGTTTCAGTCTGCAACTCGCAAACGGTGCGTTTCCAAACATGAGTTCTTTATTAAAAGTTGGTCTACTTTGAACCCTCTACATACCCTAGAAGTTTGTAACAGGTATTCATTTATACCCTGTATATATATATATAATCTTACATTTTTATATATTATATATTTATATATAAAGAAAAATATAAGGAT